GTTGTCAAAATCATTGTTCTGTGGGGGCATGATGGTAGGAACTCTTACTGTGCCATCCTGCTGACATCTCTCTCTACGTTTGCTTTTTTTATTCTGACATTCTCCAAGTTTGGATATGATGTAATTCCATCATCAGCTTTCCTTAATATTTCATAAACTTAAACAAATATTCCATGTTTTAGTATTTTACTAGTTTCATGAAGTATTGGAAGTTTTTATTATACCTTTCATTGTTGATTACTATTTAAATTGCTGCATACTCATGGAACGTAATGTTTATTCTGGAAATATGCAAAGAATTGGAGACACTGCTTTTTCGTCTAATAAGCGCTTAACATTTTAGGTACAATATGGGCCTTAAATATGTGCATTCCTTCCTTGTTTCTATATACACAACGCTATATTTTATTATCAATTTACTTATTTTTATACACATATCTCAAATTATTTTATGCATGTCGTATATACTATCAATAATGCAAAGCTTTATAATATTTATACACATTAGATCAAGTATTTGTGTGTCATTTACTCATAAAAATTTGTTTTCACTCTTAATCTATCTTATAAATATTTATTTGTCTCAAATTATGTATTAACTTATGCTTTAGGTATTTCAAAACTACGTGATTAGCATCAGGGAAATGCAAATCAAAACAACACTAAGATATCACCTCACACCCATTAGAATGGCTATAATCACCAAGACAAAAAACATCAAATGTTGGAGAGGATGTGGAGAAACAGGAACCCTCATACACAGCTGGTGGGAATGCAAACTGGTGCAGCCTCTATGGAAAACGGTATGGAGATTCCTCAAAGAATTAAAAATAGAGATGCCCTATGATCCAGCCATCCCACTACTGGGAATCTATCCAACAAACCTGAAATCAACAATTCAAAGAGGCTTATGCACCCCTATGTTCATTGCAGCATTATTCACTATAGCCAAGAAGTGGAAGCAACCTAAGTGTCCCTCCACTGACAATTGGATCAAGAAGATGTGGTATATATACACAATGGAATACTACTCAGCCATAAAAAAAGACAAAACCCTCTCATTTGCAACAACATGGATGGGGCTGGAGGGTATTATGTTAAGTGAAGTAAGCCAGAAGGAGAAAGACAAACACTGTATGATCTCACTCATATGTGGAATATAAACCAACACATGGACAGAGAAAACTGTATTGGGGTTACCAGGGCCTATGGGGGTGAGGGTGGGTGTGGGGGGTGGGCACAAAGGTTGAGGGGAGTCATATATATATGGTGATCAACAAACAAAAATGTACAACCCAAAATTTCACAATGTTAAAAACTATTAAAACATCAATAAAAATATATATATATATACTCTAAAAAAAAAGAGGAGAGAGAGACTTGCAAAACCTTAACAGCTTCCACCTCTTCCAGAAACTGCAAATTACCTAATCAGATAGTCTGAAAGACTCAGTCCAGCTATGCATTTAAAGTTACTGCCAATTATGACAATGGCTAAAAATGTTCATATAAATTTGCTTTTTTTAATTGAACAAAATTACTGTAAAATGTTAATTTCTCTCTTTCATAATTGTACATCAATGCATTAAAAAGAAAACTACGTGATTAGATGAATGTATGTTTATACGTGCTGTCTTTTTGAAAGACATATATTATTTATGATGATAAAATAATTTTCATTAGAACATTTTTCTTTATATTCAATTTTCTTAAATATTTATGTAGCTATCAGATAATTTTTTAAATAATAATTCACATTCTTTATTGATTTAAAATGCTCTTTAATGATTTTGTATTGGGTGAGAGTTTATTGTTAGTGTAAATCTGGTTTTTCTGGGGGACGTTGCTTTGATCTAACCCTGGAGTAAGTCCATTAATCTTTTAATGTTTGGAAATAAATGAGTATTTTGAAGTATTGCCACCATTTTATTTAAGTGTTGCTTCTTTATGGATTAAAATATCCTGTATTCTCCGTACTTTCCTTTTGAATTTCCAGATCACTTTTGGTTTGATTAAGATTTATTTCTTTTCTATAATTACATCAACCAGTTTGGAGGTTATATATTGCACTTATAATTTTAGGTAGTTACCCCCATTGTTTATTTTGGTATTTAAACATAATTTTGATCCATTTTTTGATTCTTCCTTTGCTTTAGATAAGAAAAGAACATTTTGCATTAGCTGAACTCTCAGCACTTACTTTCTTTCAGAAGTTCTCTCTCTGTCTCTTTCTGTAACACATAACGCACACACTCCTAATATCTTGACTCAGCTTTCTTAAATATAAATATGTGCACGTACATATAAATATAGTCTTCCAATGTTTGTTTTCCCTTATTTTTCTCACTTTTGAGTCTCAATTTATTTGTTTTCATCTATTGTTCTTTTGGCTTGAGTACATATTTTAGTGTTACTTTTGGTGAGCCTGTAAAGAGTAAAATGTCTTAGACCTTGTACATCTGGAAACACTTTATTTTTACTCTCTATTTTTATTGTTACTTGAAAACATTTTCTTATTTCAAATAAAAATACAATACAACAGCTAGGAGGGGCAATACCTCTGATGGTTAAGGATCTACACCAAACACCCTCCTCATCCCTCACGAAGATGAAGCCTGACGTGGTGGGTTTAACATGTGAGACGTGAGACCAAACAGGTCAGACGTGCCCTGGGTCTCCTCGTACTGACGGATTTCTCCCCTGCTGACCCTTTCACCTTTGCCCATGAGTAATAATTTGGGTGAGTATAGAATTCTTCACTCATAATTAATTCCTTGAATGTACTTTTCCCATACCTTTTGACATTTGTGTGTGTGTGTTTGAAAGTCAGCTCCCGTCAATTTCCTTCAATTTGCCACAAAAAATCAAGACTCAGATTTCATTGAATATTCATACGTACCAGCACTTACATGTTCCTTCTACGTCTCTGTCAAACCCCCACCATTTGCCTCTAGGACTGCTGCAGACATGGTTCTCACTGCTTTCCTCCTGAAACTCACAACATACATTGTCCTTCTCTATCTGTTCCGCATGCGTCTTAATTTTCTCATTCCACTCTCTCTGTGTTGCATCCTACAAAATTCCCTCAATGCTGTATTCCAGTTTCATAATTGGATCTTTAGCTATATCATCTCGTTGATGGAAAGTATATTTTGAATGTATTAAACAAAAGTCTTATTTTTGCCTCTAAGATATTAGTCTAATTCATTTCTAAAATTATATATACTTCTGTAATATAACTCCTTTTGTTGTTCCAGGAATTCAATTTCCTTTTTGATTTTTTCAGATATTTAGACATGCATAAATTAAAATGTTTCATTTATTCCCAGTGTTCTATTTCCCCGGATATGAAAACCCCATTCACAACTTCGTAGATTGTCTTTCACAGCACTATTTACCATTATTAGAACTTCTCTTTGATGCTTATTTCTGTTGGACACTAACCTCCCACACACCTGACTCTGCAAAGAGAGTTTCTCCCAGGGCTTTCCTGACCTTCAGGGCTCAAAGGGGTGGACTGTTGCAGCTGCCCTACCACATAGCATCCACTCTCCCAACTTAGCATGAGACTAGGGATGTGCCCGGGAGGGATGGCTCCACCATGAGTCCCACGCTCACACATGGACAGACGTCCATGTTGGACTATACTGAATTGAATCTGTTTCACACACACACAGGACATGACTTGGTGCTCACCTGTGGTCTGGGTCAGTGGGCAGAGATATCCCAGTGCCTGTCTACAAACATGAGGGAGGGGAAACTCAGCTTCCAACTTTCATGTTGAGCCCTGGTGCCCTCCCTGCCTGTGAGGACCTGGGGTCCCTCTCCTGTCCACACAGAGGTGGAAGCCTCCACTCTAATGACCCCTTGATGGTCCCAGGCACTTGTGGCCACTCAGCTTTGGCACTCTTTTCTTGATGTTCCCTCTCTATTTTGGAACTTTCGTTTCTCTTTTTCTTCAATTGACTGTGGCTACATATTTCAGAAATATTATAAACAGCATTTCTCAGTGTTAGGAGCAGATGGGGGCTCCTGAGTGGGCAAATCCATCATCTACCTTGATCGCGGGGTCTGACACAGGATCATCTCATGTCTCAAACCCCACACAACTTAATCAGGTCTGGAAGTTAACAATGATTGATCCCTCCCATGAACCGATCACCACTGACCCCACAACAACTCTGAGAAGTGGGATTCACGACAAAGTGCTGCAGAGGGGGAAACTGAGGCTCAGAGATTGGGTGTTAATGCTCAAGGTCACATGGGCAGTGGATGAGGGAGGAATATTTAAATAGGAATCAGCCTAGTCTCCCAAATCAGAGCACTACCCACTAATTGATCCCTAAAGTTGAAGGCGGAACCCCATGATGAGGAGGAGATTTCTGCCCAAGGGAATAAGGGGCACTGAGGAGGCGGGAATGACTCAGAGGTTTGTTTCCAGAGAAATGTGGGTGGATGCTGTCGCAAAAAAAAGAGAAGTCCGTGAAGAAGGCTGTGATAGAAAGAAAGCCCACACTCTGGAGTCAGGAGAAGACTGATGCTTCCTTCCCTTATTTCACTGTATTTCTCTTTTGTGCTCGTTGTCACAATGACCTGGACCTGAACTGTACAGTTAGATGTTGAGCGTGTGTCTCTGCTGATCTGAGCTCTGCAGTGCAGCAGGAGCCTGCGTCTTCCCTGAAGCATCTCCAGGGCCTGGATGACCACTGTCCATGGTGAGGACCCCACAGGGATGTGCTGATGGATGGGCTGAGGATGAAGGACAACCAAATGGGAGAGGCTCTGGGGGAGAAGGACATACCCTAAGTCACCCTCACCTGGAAGGGGCGGTTCACTGTATTTGCTACTCCAAACTGTAAATGAGAGCCAGTTCCCCTTCTGGTGGGGCTTCTGACTTGACAACTCCATGACAGGGAAGACTAGCCTTGGAGGGAACACACTCTGTGCTTCTGTTTGTCCTGCCGGGCGCCGTGGTCTCCTCCATCTGCACAGCGGGAGCCAGAGGGAGGTGGTGCCATGACCCCCACCCTCACAGCCCTGCTATTACTTGGTGAGATTTGTGGAGGGGAGGGGAAGCTTTTTTCTTTGAGGGACCCCGCCCCACAGGCAGGCCCTGGTCTGTCAGGAGACTCCAGGACTCAAAAGGATCTTGGGGAAGAGACGTTCTCATCAGGATTCAGGGAAAAATCTCTCACAAGGAATTTTCCTCTAGGACTGAGTGCAGACCCAAGGACCCCAGTGCAGGCAGGTGAGTCTGTCCCCAGGCGTCCCAGATCCCATCTCCTCACTGGGGACAGGGGCCACCCCAGGCAGTTGGGGATAGAGAGCAGGAGTTTTGGGTTGAGGGATGGGGGACATCTGGGAGGGTCCTGGGACTGAGAGCTGGGGAACAACGGTGGGGAATGTCTTGTGACCCGGCCTCTGATTTCCTTCCAGGGACCCTCCCCAAACCCACCATCTGGGCTGAGCCAGGCTCTGTGATCCCCCGGGGGAAGCCGGTGACCATTTGGTGTCAGGGGACCCTGGAGGCCCAGGAGTACCGACTGCATAAGGAACGGAGTCCAGGGCCCTGGGGCAGAGAGAGCCCTCTGGACTCTGGAGACAAGGCCAAGTTCTCCACCCCACACATGACAGAGCGATATTCAGGGAGATATCACTGTTACTATCTCAGCCCCACTGGCTGGTCAGAGCCCAGTGATACCCTGGAGCTGGTGGTGACAGGTGAGAGGACACTCAGGGGTCCCAGCCTCAGGCTCTGCACTCAGGAAGGTGCTCTGCTCTCAGGGGCGTGTCCCCTCTCACAGCCCAGCCCTGGGGGATATGAGGGAGATGTGAGCCCCATTTAACATGCTGCCTCCTCCTCTCCTAGGATTCTACAGCAAACCCACCCTCTCAGCCCTGCCAAGTGCTGTGGTGACATCAGGAGGGAATGTGACCCTCCAGTGTGACTCACGGCTAGGATTTTCCAGGTTCATTCTGACTAAGGAAGGAGAACACCAGCCCTCCTGGACCCTGGACTCACAGCGACTCCCCACTGGGCAGTTCCAGGCCCTGTTCCCTGTAGGTCCCGTGGTCTCGAGTCACAGATGGACGTTCAGATGCTGTGGCTGTTACAAGAAGTACCCCCAGGTGTGGTCATATCCCAGTGATCCCCTGGAGCTCCTGGTCCCAGGTGAGGCTCCTCAGCCCTGTGTCCTCTCCCTACGATCTATTTGGGGCCCTGTTCTCAAGAGATGTCTGGTCTGGCATGCCTGTGACGGGGCCCTGAGGAAGGGTCACCCAGAGGATATCTGCCCCTCAGAGGCCCTCTTACCCCTGCTCACCCCCTTCCCTCTCACCTGGGGTCTAGAAGGTGCCAGGTTGGCAGAAGGGGGCTCTTGGGGATGGCACAGGACAGATCTAGGAGAAGAGTTTGAGTGAGGTGGAGAATCCAGGGTCGTCCCCAGCCCCTCACTCCCTTCCTGTCACATTTCCAGGATGTGCTGCAGATGCCAGCCCCCCACCCACAGCTCCCATCTCAACAACTACTGGGTCACTGAAACCTCTTCTCTCAGAGGGAGCATAGATCACCCAGGGCAGTTCTGAGAGTCTCCCAGAGAGTATAATGCCCCTCAGATACTCAGGGACAGGCTTGTGTCCCAGGGGGGCTAGGACATGTTTTGTGTATCTCCTGAATGTTTTCTCTTTAATTTTAACCATGTTGATATACATTTAAAAGACTTCTTAGTATCAAACATTTGGATATTAACCCCACCAGATGACATCTATTATTAATTCAGGTTTTCTGACTTGTATAAGCCTATTTAGGAATTTTTGCATTTGGATGTATAATTAGAATTGAGCTATAATTTGGTTTTTTTTCTTTTTTTATGTTAAAACTGGTTAAAATAGATTTGCATAGTTACTTATTTTTTGTGCTCATCCAATTTTATAATACCACTGATTTTCCTGTTCCTTAAGGCTTTGAAGACCAGAAACGTGGACTTTCTTGGTTTTGGATATTTGAATAGGAGAGGGTAGAGGTTATGTTTTTTTGTTTGTTTGTTAAGTATTTATTGAGTGCCTTTAACCATTACATGATTTTAATATCAAAGAATCTGAGAAATTCACACATTCTTGCAACTCGCTTTCTTACCCAACATTTTAGTGTGAAAAAGTTCAAATATAAAGTCGAATGACTAGCGTTCTCTCCTTGAAATCTTCTATTAGTTTCCAGACTTCTTTCAATGAGAGAGCCAGAGAAAGGCAGCCAGAGAAAGAGAGGGTGAGAGTGAGAGAAAGACAGAGAAAGACAGAGAGAGAGAATGATGATGATGATGGTGATGAGGATGATGGTGATGATGATGACGATGATGATGACGATGATGATGATGATGATGACAATGACGATGACGACGACGATGACAGTAATGGAAACTCCCTCATCCATCCTGTCATTTCTGACTTGTCTCCAATGCACCAAGCCCCCAGATCTCAGCTCCCTCTTCTCCTCTGGACCCTCCCTGTATCCCACAGACATGACTTTATTCCTTATTGAAAAACAAACTGAGGTCTTTCTGGGGACCTGCTCTTCCTGCAGCCTGTGATGTGCCTGGTCTGGGTCTTTACATGGCTCCTCTCAGACTCCTTATCCTACTCAGGAGTCGGCTTAAACATCATCTCCAAGTGTGGCATTCACTGTGACGCTGTGTAGAACAGACCCGCCTCCTTATTAGTTTACTTCTTGTAATTAACCCAACCTATACTGTATGGGTTCAATTTTCTCTCTTCTCTCATATAAATATGACCAAAGTCTCAACCATGAATCCTAGGTCCTCAGTTGTTGAACAAATAGAATGTCTTATATCTGGAAGAGTGAACTTACATGTCAATATCCCAGAGTGAACAGAGAGCATACAGGAATTCAATTGTTTCTGTATTAGGAGACCACTGTTCTCAACAATTCTGAGCTCTTGGGGCACATCCAAACTCTGTTCCAAAGTGACTCAGAAGCAAAATCTAAATTCAAAAAACAAAGATAAACTGAAAGAATACAATGAGAACAGAAGGAAACCTTCTACAGCAGAGAAAATGTACATTAAGGAACTGCATAACAATTATGTCATGAGGAAAAGAGGGAATTATAAGAAGACAGAGCCCAGGGGAAAGGCTTGAGTCTCATCAACTGCTCATCCATCCCTGGTTTTTTATGATTCTCAGAAGCAGCTGACACCATCAGGCCATCACAAAACAAGTCAGACTCCAAGAGTGGTGAGTAGGAGAAATTCTCAGTTATAGGTCTGGTGCAGAGAATCAAGTCCTGGCAAGGGGTGGTAGGAGCCCGGGTGGACATCCAGGGATCCTGGGGTGATTTTGGTCTTCCTTGACCTCTGTGACCTTTCCGTCCACAATTCCTAGCCTCACACCCTCAAGATTACACAGTGGAGAATCTCATCCGGATGGGCATGGCTGGCTTGATCCTGCTGGTCCTTGGGATTCTGCTATTTCAGGCTCGACACAGCTTGAGAAGACCCCAAGCTGCAGCCAAGACGCAAACACAAGATAGAACAATGCACTGTTCAGAGTGGTAGAGCCTTGGAAATACGTCCTAGGTAACCAGGAGCTTCCGAAGGAGCAGCTGGGGCATAAGCTGTGTGAACTATCTGCAGATCATTGCGAGATGGAGGAATCATTGTTCACGTGCAGGGACAATGTCTGGACTCTTCTGCCATCAAAGTGTGAAAGATTCCTTCACAGCCACCATTGAGTTACGTTCATGGGTCCCTATCTTTCCCCATTTCTGTGAAATCATTATATACCCCATGTGGCAGATTTGGGTCCACACCTCCTTACACTTTCTTCATCTGGTACACTTTAATGTAATATACATTTTTTAAATTTCTAATTACCACATACCTTGATGTATATTAAGGAGTCTCCATCTCTTCATTCAGAGCATGTAATCTGTTTTTAATAAATCATTAAATTTCCATAATAGGGATTCAGCCTGAAAGAGATGAATCCAAAATGATGCCCTGACACGCTCTCTGGACTCCACAAGTCCTTCACTTCTCATCAGATGCTACCCGTGTAGTTTCATCAGAAATATCACCACTTGAGTTAAGACATTACTCTCTGAAGTGATAGCAATGCTCTTACTCCTCTTGAAAAACTCATTGTTAAAAATACTAATTCAAGGCTTTTTTCAGTTTCTCTGGAGTATATACTCCCTTCATGGCCAACTTAAATGTTCCAATGTGAGGTCTGTAATGTAGAGTTGGGAAGTCACGCACAGGGTTGATGTTACAAAACAGTCCAAGCCAATAGGACACCTTGAATGCCACTCTGATAGCCCCAAAGTGCACCTAAGTTTCCTTGTTTTTTACGTGTAATGATCATTCCTACTTCAATGTTGTGACAGTTTCAGTGTAATCACAAGGCCAAAATTCCAGCACATTCAGGAGAGTTACAAAGAGAAACATGGGAATATAAGTTGTGGGAGGGAATAGTGAGCCCAGAGAATTTTGATTCATTACTCATAGGAGTGTAAAGTACATCCATGAATTCAGAGAGTAGATTATTATACTTATCTAGTTAAAGTAAGGGACACACAGCTATGGTCTTTAAGTACATACCTTAGAGAAAATGTGTACATATGCACCAGGATCCATGCACAAGGACATTGACAAGAGAGTTATTCATATTAGTCAAAATCATATTAAGACTACATGCACCAAATAAGAGAGAATTTGGTGTTCTACATAGAAAATGAAATACAATACATCAGTGAAAATGAACAAACTAAAATTCAAGTAGGCATGTGTATCCATCTTCAAACATGATAGTAAGTAAATGTAAGAAGATTATAAAAACAATTTTTAGGGTTATCCCATTTACCTGATGTTAAAAAAGAACCATCATGTATTATTTAGGAATGTGTACTTACGATAAACTCTATGAATAAAGGAGAGAAAAGAATTCTATCAAATCTATGATGGTGGTTACAAATAAGGTGATGTTAGATGGTTTTGTTCAAGATGGAAACCATAGAATCTTCTGGAATATGGTCAATCTTCTTTTTGACTTTCATTTGATGACTCATAAGTCTACTTGTCATTACTGGTAGATAGTGCATTTCAATTCTACAATCTCTCCTTATTTTCCATACAATTTAGTGAGTTGGGTTGAAGTAGGGTGGTGAGAACCACATCCTACACTAGTGACTAATTCGTAACAAAGCAGCCGTTCATCAGTTATAGCAAATACTTCACACGTTGGCATTGTGTTTTCCTCAAAACATGATCTCTCCTGCCTGACCACCCTCACCCGAGTCCAATCAGACGAGGAGCTGCTTTCCAGGGGAGAAATTGTGTCTCTGAACAAACGGTTTGGCCAATACCAGACTATATGCAGTTAAGAATTTATTTATTATTTATTTATTTATTTATTTATTTATTTATTTATTTATTTATTTATTTATGAGGAAGATCAGCCCTGAGTTAACATCTGATGCTAATCCTCCTCTTTTTGCTGAGGAAGATTGGCCCTGGGCTACCATCCACGCCCATCTTCCTCTATTTTATATGGGACTCTGCCACAGCATGGTTTGACAAGCAGCCTGCAAACCCGGGCCACCAAAACGGAGTGTGTGAACTTAACTGCTACACCATCAGGCTATATGTAGTTAAGAATTTAAAGTGGGTTCATGTGAGTACATGAACCCATAATGGCCCAAGTATCTACATCAGGATGAATCCACCCAATATGGACTTTGGTGTGATTTCAGAAATGGGGTTTAACCCCATCAGGTAGTGGTTTGGGGTCACATCCCCGGGATTGATTCCAGACAGGACTACACTCAGAATGTCCGCTCTTTTCTTGGACTCCACTAAGGGGGAATCAGATAGAGGTCATGGGAGGGAAGCAGCTCTCCTTTCCCACAGAAAATCTGTGTCACAGGTTCTCACGTGCTATGTTCTATGAACCTGCTCTGTCTGGTTCTGTCTGCTCCCCTCATCTGCACTGATCCAGACAAGCTGGGCTGGGACAGAGCCTGGGTCCCCACATGCCCACCCTGTGTTTCCTGGAATGGAAGTGGTGTGCACTGCAGGGAAGTCAGCCCAGCCCAGGTTCTAGGACAACATGGTCTCTATGGAGCTCAGCAGCCATGATCCCTTTCAAATGGGGACCTTTATATATCTCCTTTATTTTTTCAGGAATTCTCAACATTCCTGTGCAGTTCAGCTAAGACACCTCCACATGTCTGAGCTCTATCCTCTCAATTCACCTCCTCGAGGTTGACCTTCCATGATGCTCAGACTAGCTAAGATCCTCTATTATCTAATGTCCAATCTCCAAATATTTATTCCACATAATACATGTCGTAGTGTATGAGTACAGATATTTTGTAATTAATTATTTGATGTCCATCACATCCCCAAGACTAGTAGGGATCAGGAGCAGGCTCCATGTCAAGTAAGCACATATTTTAGTTTTCACACTGGTACACTGTGTGAATAGAGTTGATATTTGTAGGTAAACTTTGACTGACTGGATGGGTGAATGGAGTTATTGTAAATGGAAAAAAATGAAAGAAAAAAATTTATTTCACACACAGACACACGCACACACACTGCGATCTGAAGTAAATCAAGCCAGCATCCTCCCCTGCTGCCTTCCTCTTTCATTTGTGTAAATCTGGTCCCTCTTTAAGTTCCTAGAGCCCAGGATTCCCTGTTTTCCACTCCGCTCAGCTGAAGCATAAGGAAAAGCTAGTAAACCCAAATAAGCCAATCAAACACAAAAACAAAACCATGGAGGCGAGAACTGCTACATAACTTGTGGGGCACAGTGCAAAATGAAAATACGGGGACCCGTGTTCAATTGTCAAGATGGTGACAGAAGAGCATTAACTCAATTTGGAGCCCCGTCCAATCACACATCTCACCGCCCATGAATCCCACCCTGCGTAGAGCAATGGGGAATCCAGCTACTGCACACTGTGGTACAGACCAGCGTTTTCTGAGTGCCTCTCGGGTGCCAGGACCTGGGCTGGGTGCCGCACACATCCCATCGCTGAGTCTTCAACACATAACTATTAGGTGGGGGTCATCTCCTCCTTCGTAAAGATGATCTCAGGGTCATGAATTCCTTTGCCTAAAACACACTGGTTTAGGACTAACATCGATTTACAAGTAGGTCTGTCTCCTAGCTCCTGCCCATTCCCACTCACTGCCTCCCAATTCAATCCTATCCCAGCATGAACCTAAAGATCTGGCATGACACTCACACCAAGTTTCACGGTCCTGTTCTCTGTCTCACCCCCAGTCTCTGCTATTTCAAGGCAGGCAGCCTTGTAAGGAGGTGCTGTACTCTGGGGTCAGGGTGATCTGGATTCCATTCACACATGGAAACTTGCAGGGAGATTTGACCTTGAAGGACCAACACAGCGTCCCGAAGCCTTGGTGTTGTTGTCTTTCAAGTGCAGATGATATTTGAGTGTTAGAAGCATCCCAAGAGAAGAAAAGCCCCACTGACAGGCCCTGAAATTTCTGATGCCCCACAAATAGTAGCTCCTTCCCTTACACCTTCCTTCTGGAGAAGAGAAAAAAAGTGGGGTCCCTTGAAGAGAGCCTCCCATTTCCTCCAGGGCTCCCCCTGAACCAGGATCCCAGATTTTCCAGCCTTGTTTCCACAGCAATGAGCATGTGACCATCCACGCCTGGAGAAGAGGGACTCTCTGAGCTCCAGGATAACCAAGCACATTGAGATCCCAGAGCAAGACAGCAGTCCCCTATCACTGTATGTGCTCAATGACTACAAACTTTGCAAAGGCCTCCAACAGAAAGTGCCCCTGGAGGTTGTGGAGACAGGTCAGGGGCCTCCATAGCCCAATCCTCCACCCTCTGCTTCTGTCCTCAGGCTGGACATGGTGTGTGTCCCCACATGGATCCCATGTGTACCGGGCCCCCTCACAGTATTGTAGGGACAGACATGGTCATGGTGCTGCTGACCATGGTATCTCATGGTATCCCCATAGAAATAGCTCTATAACGGTGTTCAATATCTTCAGATAACAAGGTGGCAGTTTTGTGAAGTTTTCAATGTAATAAATAATTTGGTCCTCATATAAACCTCATGAGGAAATTACTAATCTCTTTTACATTTACATGATGAGAAAGTCGAGGTTCAGAGATTCAACAGCATGTTCAGAGTCACAGAGCCAAAGAAGGGAAGAGCCAGAAATGAGGTCAGGCTGCCAGATACCAGACCCCAGTCTTGCAAACACTGTATATTTCCACTTATATTAGTTTCCTAGGGATCTCATAAGATTGCTACAAACTGGGTAGATTAAAACAGATCTATTCTCTTACAATTATGGAGACTAGAAGTCCACAATAAATCTATCAGCAAGCCCATGGTCACTAGGCAGGCTCTTGGGAAAAATCCTTCCTTACCTCTTAGCTCTTGTTGGCCCCAGACACTCCTATGTTCCTGGGATCCTGACTCCAATCTCTGCCTCTATCTTCACATGGCTGACATCTCCTCGTGTATCCCTGTCTTCAATGACATTCTCCTTATGTGCCTCTTCTCTGCTT